TCAAAACCTATCGACATACATGTATATATAAATAAATAATTTTAATGCATTAAGTTACTCGCCAATTCTATGTGTGAATATAGGCAATATAGGATGTTGCCTCATCTCAAACGTACATTTAAGATATTTCTGAGGTATAGAAGAAAGAAAGAAAGAAAAATATAAGGTATTTGACCGTCGTACAAATGTGAATCTTACCTACTGAAATGTTTCAAAATACTATGAGATGTGAGGACAGAGAGTAGAGTCAATAATAATAAAAACGCCGTGTAGCCATAACAAAATAGCTGGAGACCCTGTTAAACAGAGTTTGTTTTATTGGTACTTCACACGTAATACACATTTTTTGTAAATACCTATAAATACAATAATAATAATAATCTCAGGACAATTCACACAACGCCATCTAGTCCCAAGTTAAGCTAGCTAAAGCTTGTGTTATGGGTACTAGATAACTAATACAAATACATAGATTTTTTTTGTAAATACATACATATTATACATAGAAAACACCCAGACCGATACAAATAATCATACTCATGAATACAAATGTTTGTACCGTGTGAGGAATCGAACCTGCGACCATCGGTCGTAAAGCGGTGTGCCAGACCGCTAGACCACCGACGTCATCATACAAATGTTTGCATCGTGCGATTGATCGAACACGCAATCATCCAGAGTTGAAGACGGTATGTTAAACCGCTAGACTACCGAGGCCTTTAAGGTTTTAGACCACTTTGTGTGTAGTTATTTTTTGTTGTTGGCAACCCTGCTCCGATGCGAGTTATTTACATAACTGTTCCGTGCGAGTTGATGTTTGTACGCTGTCGGAGTTTATTGCAGTTGGTACAGAGAGACTGGTGGGGGGAAGGGGGGTTTAGTAGTGTGGACTGGTCTGGGGACTGGACTGTTTGAGTTACGAACACTGATTATTGGCTTTTGCAATAGCATATGATGGTGGTCACTCTATTCTTCCAAATTTGAATTTAAATATATATAATGTATTATTGTAAACATATACAACATTTATTTGAAAAGAATGCGACTGAGTTATTGTCAGTTCTTCTCATCTCGAAATTATTCCGAACTGACTGACTGACTGACTCTTATGATATCTCAAATCTCAAACCGGTAGGTTTGACATATCATAAGAGTTTGTAATAGACCTACATGAACAAAGATATTTTGAACTGTTGACCCAATTGTTAGCAATGTACCATGTCTTGACTTCCACGTGGTTCCTCCTGGAAACCATTATGATAAATTCGATAATTTCTTGGTAAATTCGATATATTGCTAGCAATGTATTATGTCAGGTTGACTTCCACGTGGTTCCTCCTGGAAATCATTATGGTAAATTCGATAATTTCTTGGTAAATTCAATATTTGTCACGATGGGCTAACTGATCTGATCTCATGTTCACCTTATCATCCTCCACTGCGGCAGCTGGAGGACATAAGCTGTGCCTAGCTTGGAACTAGGTGGCGTTTTGTGAATTGCCCGGAGATATTATTAATAGATTGTTCTTGTATATAGGCGATGGTTATGGTTACCGTTTACCATCAGGAGGGCCGTCTAATTATTTGACATTCCAAAGATTTAAAATTAGACCTATCAGTTTCATCATGAAAAATCTCGCTCTATAATTCTATAACCTACCAATACGATCTACAATTGAAACCAGCAGAAAGATCCTGTAATTTATACTTTAATTACTACGCCCGTATGTCCATTTTTATTTAACAATCCATATCGTGTACACAGTCAAAGATAACGTCGTGATACCTGGAGGCCATTTACTCGACAACATTGAACGGCACTCGAAAACGAAAAGTAAACTTCGAATTACACCTGTTATTATACGAATTACGGCCGTAATTCATGCGTATTACTGCCGTAATTTCACGATTATTGCACTGTGTGAAGGGACACGTTGTTACGTCAAATTATCGTATATTTAAGGGGTAACGCGGAATTATTTACAGTACATAATTGGGTGAAAGAGTGTATATTATATTTCAAATTCAATTTGAGGATTCAAAAGAAAATATTTTGGTCCAGAAAAGAATATAGCATGAAAGAAAATACATACATTACAATTTCAATTTGACGATGCGAAAGAAAAATGTTTTGGCTCAAAACACAATATAGCAAATTATACTCGTAAGCAATTACGTGTAAGTGTCATGCCGTTTATGATTTCTTTATGATTAACTGCTTCGTCCGAGCAAATCTGTCGTTTATCGTTTCCGTGAGATTTATTTCTGATGGGCATATTTAACATAACTTATGTTCTACATTACATATTTCAAGTTTCATGCCAAATTAATAGTGCAAAAGTGAAAAATCACTCGATAAGGAGGAGCCTATACCTATGTACTATATGGTGTTTTTATGTACTATGTACTATGTAGAGTTTTTGTATCTAATCTTAATCTTAATAATATTATAAAGTTTTTAAGTATGGATGTTTGTTACTCTTTCACGCAAAAACTGCTGAACGTATTTTGATGAAACTTTAAAGTACTATAGATTATGCTTCAAAAAAACACATAGGCTAATTTTATATTGTAATTTATCGTAGGTGAAACCGCGGACGCAGATAGTATTTTATAATTGTGTAATGATTAAAAAAAACAATGGAAAACATGACATCTGTAAAATATTTATACAATTCGCAAAATGTATAGGTTAAAACCAAATTAAAAGAACGACGCGAAGAAATTATGAAACAAAAAAGGAATAAACAAGTGACAATATTTTTTAAAAAAAAATGTATGGTGATTAGATCCCTTGGCATTTGACTTACGATTATCATAAGTGTCTATAGTAGACGTACATGAAAAAAGATACCTTAACTTGATTCAATTAAGATTTAAAATGTAAAAACGGTTGTGATTAAAATTACCTAAAACAACAAGTGTGCATAAAGCATATACAAGATTGACACATAAAATACTTTTTAATGAATTTCACAAAACCAAACCCTATGCTATCAACTACTTACAACATATTTTCGTCTACAAAGTAAAAACACGTAAACTAGTCTGCGTATGCGTTAGGGAAATAAACAAATTGTCGGTGATTACGCGTTTTTACACGCAATCGGGCACGCACGTGTGCGCATCTGTATTAAAAAAAAATAGAAATGCATGTAAAGTCGGTTAGCGAAATGATTCCAGGCGACTACATGGACATTCCTCACAAGTATTTCTTTAGGCTTTTAGGTTTTTACGGCGAGTAATTACAGGTTAAGGTGTGCCCTACGGTAATAATATTATTACAGCCGTTTATAAATATCTCGAGGATAATTATTCTTATTGTTTACGCTATGATTGCATAATTATATAAACTATTTATTATTAAACTATTACTAACATTATTTTCGCGGCGCGGTACTATGTGAGCGGTAACGCATGAAGATAAATTCCATTCCAAAAGAAACTGTAACAAACTCATTTTCAAATTTAGTCACAGAAATGTTTTTAAATTATTAAATCTGTAGTTTTAGATTCGTATTAAATAATACTCATGAACACAAATATTTGTAACGTGCGAGGAATTGAAACCGCGACCATCTGACGTAAAGCGGTGCGCTATACTACTAGACCACCGAGGCCGAATATATGAATAGAATAGAATAGAAAATCATTTATTCAAATAAACTTAATTTAAGCACTTTTGAATACACAACATTTTTTTATTAAATCTACCACTCATTTGGAAAGCTGACTGATTACAAGAAGAATAAGCAAGAAACTTGTGTGTTGCTATTTAATATTATTGTTCTCTAATCTATAAACTATCCTTTTAGCATTTTAAGTCTGTACATAAATTTATCTCTCATCATTTCTCATGACCACTTTAGCAAATTGACCATGCGCAAACACTTGTATATCTTTTTACAGAAATATTATGTACTAAGACAAGAGCATTCATCCAGTCAATAGGCCCATTATATTCATGTTCTGCAATATAAGAGTAAAACCCATATAAAAATAGCTTGGAGTACCATAAAAAAAGATAGCAAAATTACAGTTGAGTCCGCGCATAAATCTTAATACATAGACAAGCGACACGGCCGTTCTTTCTATATTGTCTCTGGTAAACATTTGTTTTGTTCTGCTCGATTATTAATAAGCTTATTTGTAATTCTGATTTATACTTTATTACCTTGATAATACGAGCGATATTTCGTAACTTTTGTGTCATTTAATTTTACTTTTGCTGTACATTGATTGTGATCAATAAATACAAAACACATGCGGGAACAAGTCTGAGGTATAATTAAAGTTGTTATTTATTATATAAGTGTATATATATTACTCTATTGTATGCTTTAACTTCCACGATACAGGCAATATCTAGTATAGGCTTATAAATAAGTATACCTCAAGCTAAGTTTTTCGATAAATTAACTTATTGTGATATGATATCTTAATATTAAATCTATGTATTAATAGTGAACTGTAAGTCACTATTTTCACCCAACGTTACTTAAAAATGACATGGTTTCACTATCACTATCATTTATGTTTACTATTTGCCAGTTTGTACCATTCTTAAAAAGTAATTCTGAACTATATATATATTTATTCGAAAGAACAACACGCAAGTTTACTGCATATTCTTCTTGTGACGAGTCTATGTTCCAAATGAGTGGTAGAATAAAGAAATGTGCTAATCAAAAGTGCATATATTTAGTTTAAATTTATTTGAATAAAGATTATTTATATTTCGAGTCTTGTAATATAACATGGGCCCAAATACGCCCCTATTAACTTGACAGTCCGTTATCAATATCTACCAGAAGAAAACCGAAATAAACGACTCGACGACCTAGGACAGATGTGCCTGGCGTAGAAGGACTAGGAAAACCGACCCCAAATAAAATGGGAAATGGCTAGGCAGAGAGAGAGAGACAGCGAGTTTATTTCTATTTCGAAATTTTCTTTAAAAAAATGTAATTTAATAATTTTTTGAGTATTTCGGTATTTACCTCGTATATATAACGTTTCCTTTGGTACGCCCCTGTGTCGGGCGACATTAGAAACGATACGGTCGATATCTGAAACAAACATACGGCAAATTAGTATTGATATAAGATTAATACATTTAGTCTATTTAAAAAACTCGTTTATATATCTTTTTATACTTATAGTATATGGGGTTGTATAATACATAGTACACTAATCATTCTCATTATAATAATAAATTGCCACTTTTTTATATATAGTATAAAATCATAGTATAAAATACAGTCGCTGTCGCTGTCTGTTCGCGTATAATCTTTTAAATTACGCAACGGATTGTTATGGTTTTTTCAGCAATAGATAGAGTGATTCAAGAGGACGGTTTATATGTATTGTATGAAATTCAATGCTTTGGAATAAAAAATAGTAGATAATATAAAATACTTAAAAGATTTGATATAGTGAAAGTACTCATAATGAAACTGTTTTGAAGATTATATATCATGAGATTATGTTCGTTTTTTTTTTCTTTCCACAGACATAAAGTCCGTGCTCTTATTATGTTTTTAACCTTTTACATTTCTGTTTTTAATTTCAGAACAGAAACAGAGATTATGATACTCGTAGTTAGATATTACGAGTTCTTTTAAACATTTTCATAGTCGTTCAGTTGCAATTAGTTAAAAACCAAAACCCATTATTACAGTATAAGGCTCATGTAGAAAAATTAAATACATATTCATGAATCTGGAATCGAACCGGGCTGTTAGCATCTCCATAATCAACTTGCCGACCAAAACTCCCACTTTTTGTGAGCCCTTAACGTCAACAAGGTCCTGTGAATGTGACTTTTTTAACATTCGACAGCCGGTTCTCACCGAACCGTCCAAAATAAACATAAAATCACCTGCTGAAATTCGATCTTATCCCCTTGGTAATAAGGGACGGGATATATTTCAACATGAGTCACTTATCGGCAGAAAAGGAAAGTGACCGCATGGCCTTGAAATTTATTGTTTTTTTTAATGCGACTGCAAATCAATAGTACTAATAATATCACAGGACAATTCACACAGCGCCATCTAGTCCCAAGCTAAGCAGAGCTTGTAATTTGGGTACTACATAACAAAATAAACACATATATACATTTTCATAAATACAAATGTTTGCACCGTACGAGAAATTGAACTCGTGCGAGGAGTCGATACTGGGACCATCGGAAGTAAAGCGGTGTACTAAACCGCTAGACCACCGAGGCCGTCAAATAAATCGTAAGAAGAAAAACACGTAGATTCTAAAATTGACGAATGGTTATAGATTAAATAATAGCTGTACAGTACATGGTATAAAGCAACGTTAATCGAAGCCCCGACAACTGGTTCCGTGTTCATGACAACTCGCTGCGCCTACGCAACGCTGAGTAATACAAATAATAACGAAACGCAAGGTATTTAGTTTTGGCGGACGTCAATCTATTATGTACCTTTGAAATGTGGAGGATATTTCAGATAACGGTTTTTATATAGTACTGCATCTAATCCTGTGCAGAACACACTGTGCTGTATGAGAATTTCATAATTTTTTGTCTGTGAGACGAGAATTTTATAAATTCTCGGGTCACAGGGTCAAATGTTATGTTAATAACGAAACGCGAGGTATTTGGTTTTGGCGGACGTCAACCTACTATGTACCTTTTAAATATGCAAGATATTTCACAAGACGTTTTTTATATAGTACTGCATCTAATCCTGTGCAGAACACACTGTGCTGTGTGAGAATTTCACAAATGTTTGTCTGTGATACAAGAATTTCATAAGTTTTTGTCTGTGATACGAGAATTTTATAAATTCACTCGGTGACATACACTCGGTAGCTTTGAGAATAGAGTGTTATCTATTTTTTTATTTTTCATTTTTTTGTTTTAATTTCTTTATGATTAGGTATTAAAAATTACATATACACAAAATTTTCACTATGATGATCAGCCAGGAGACTTTTAAAAAAGATTTTCGGGTAAACGCTTCAATCCGTTAAGTTGCATTGGACTATTCTTGATCGGGACGAAAAGTAGCCTATACTTATCTTATATTCTTCTACTACAAACTATTAGAAGACAAAAATATATATAACATAAAGAAAAAACATTCATGAACTTACTATATCATTCACATTTGAACATATAATTGTAAATGATAAATTATATAATAATAATAACAACGCAAGATAATCCTCAGCCGTCTAGTCCCAAGGTAACCAGAGCTTGTGTTATGGGTACTAAACAACTGATCGTTATATTGAGATGGATTTTTTGTAAATACATACATAATATATGTGCTACCCAGACTAATACAACCAATCATACTCATGAATACAAATGTTTATATTGTCCGAAGAATTGCAACCATTGAAAGTTAAGCGGTTACCTAACCCCAGAGCACTGAGAATATCAAACTACAAAATATAAAACCTACATGCAAAAAAACATAGTCGTATCGGCATCTCCTTCTTTTTGCAGTTGGTTGAGAACTTGAGAGTACCTTTTGTAACAGTAACTGCGGTCATGTCACCCCAACAACGGTAAAGCACGCTTGCACAGCACAACTAAACAGATCCAGGTCGCAATTATATCACTTTGTTCCAACTTATGGTGTTTAACTCTAGACCTTAGCTCTAGACCCGTTGGTCGCAACGGTCTAGGGATGCCAACTGTACAAGGATCCTAGAACATATAAGACATTTTCGTCTGATGTTTTTGTATGGTAGCAAGTTCATCGTCGTAAATGTTTTTTACGATATTGTGACCTACGAAATATGGTAATATGATGTACGAGATTATTCAGATTTCGTATAGAATTGCTGTATTCAAATAAACTTCATTTAAGCTCTTTTGAACATTCATCATTATTTTTTTTTAATCTACCACTGATTCGGAAATCTGTCTCATCACAAGAAGAAAGAGCAAGAAATTTATTAAATAGAAGTTATTTAATAAATATAATATAAATAGAAATTTATTAAATAGAAGCAATAAACTTCATTTAAGCTCTTTTGAACATTCATCATTATATTTTTTTAATCTACCACTGATTCGGAAATCTGTCTCATCACAAGAAGAAAAAGCAAGAAATTTTCCGTGTTGCTATTTTAAATAATCATTGTAACTAACATTTTTAACTTGAAATATGTGAATACAAACTATCAACTAGGACTAATTAATTAGACTCAAAATATTAATTCTTCATACAAAGCTTGTTTTACTATGTGGTACTTCAAGGTTGGTAACCCTGTGGTGACCCACATATTCTAAACCAGTTCACTCTGGATATAACCAAATAAAATAATTCGTTGTAAAATGGGAAATAGATTTTACCGGCCGCGGCGTTTTCCTCTGCGTGATCATGATTGGCCATATTAAAACGTGCCACATTTCCTTCCAAATACTACATACGAGTATACGCCAAATTTCATAGTAATTGGTTAAGGAAGAAAAATTTACCACGGTGAGCCTGACCTCAGTCAACCTCTTTCAACTTCCAACAGAGCCCCGACATGGTAAACCTCACACCCGATATGCTAACCAACGTTAGGATATTGTGTGTATGATTCGATTGAAGTTTCACCCGCCCTCCCGCGGTTTCACTCGCCTTAAATTTACAGCCTATGTTATTCTGATTTTCTGTAAAGTTTCATCAAATTCCGTTCAGTGGATTTTACGTGATAGAACAAACATCTATCTAACTATCTAATCTATCTATCTAAGTTGAAAACTAACATCTAACTTACAACTGTCGCGTTTATAATATTAGTTCAATATATTTTATATACTGGAGTGTCTGTTTGTTGTAATATTGAAATAACCTTTTTTTACTACATGCATATGAATATAAATACGGTACATAAACCAAAATAACATTTTTTACATTTTTTTTCTGTCTGTCTGTCGGTCTGTTTGTTCCGGGTAATCTCTGAAATGGCTGGACCGATTTTGATGGGACTTTTTTTGGCAGGTAGCTGATGTAGTAAGGAGTAACTTAGGCTACTTCTATTTTAGAAAATTAAAGTTAAATTCCACGCGGACGAAGTCGCGGGAACAGCTTATATTTTATATATCTGTATATTTTTTTCAAATATATTTTATATATTACTACGAATTCCCATTACTATCAGTTCCTTCCCAGTCAGTGTTACATTGTCAATTAATTAATAATCCTAACAATTCACGACTCAAGTAAATTGTAATACACGAACGAAGGTAATTTCATTACGATATTATTTTCTCATGAAACGAAATTAACAATGGGTGCACATATTGTGTCGTTTAGATTACTTTCATTCGACATCGTGTATTGTCTTTTAAGTTTTTTTACTAATTGCCAACATTTCACTTATGACTATAGATCTCTCCAACTTTCTTTGTCTGTGTTCCTTTTTATATCTACAATTTAATTATCTGCGAAAGGAGAGAGAGGGAAGAAATTACTAGAAAACTGGAAAATAGAAGTAGTTTAAGAACTTATGAAGATTCCACATACTTCATTACAATCGAAATTCAATTTTTCATTAAGAGTTCATATTATTTTCTATATATTATAACTTTTACAATACATTTTAACGTTACTATTTGGATTTATACTATTTTGTTTAATTCCGCTATCATTATCATTTCAGCTGAAACAAAATTAAACAAAAGGTAGCGGACTTAAACAAAATAATAATATCCATTAAGTTATGAAATATATTACCACATAATAACACATGATTCGTTAAAATAAAATCAAAATGTTATTATGTAGTTATGTTAATGTATTCATGTAGATTTATTACAGACTCTTAGGATATGTCAAATCTACCGTCAATTCGGAGTCCTTTCGAACTAAAAAGAACTGAAAAGAAACTCAGCTCTTATTCTTTTCAAATGAGCTTGTACATGTTTACAAAAATAAAGAGTCATTTTTAAACTCAAATTAGGGAGAATAGAGTGACCCCCAGCATGCTATTCTAATTTGCTCAAAAGTAAATAGTCTAATCAATTGCCGTAACCCAAAATTTTAATGTTAATCTTATTGAAATGAACGTTTTAATTGTTAGGAAATAT